TGTAGACCAGAAGTAGCACCGCATCAGCATGCAATGTAGACCAGAGGTAGCGCCACATCAGCATACAATGTAGACCAGAGGTAGCGCCACATCAGAATGTAGACCAGAGGTAGCGCCACATCAGCATGCACCCCAGCAAGCCTGGGGCACAATGCAGAAACCGCCAGCATGCTGTCTCCACCTAGTGCCGTCGTCCGCATCGCCAATGCACAGCCAGCGTTTAGCCAGCGTCAAGCCAGCATAATGCCAGTGTCTAGTCAAAGTCTAGCCAGCGTCAAAACAGCATAGCAAGACTGAGTGCTTGACTCACTCGAGGCCAGCCTTAAGTAACAGATGTCGAGGCTGTCTGGCCTCGGGTGCTTTTCCCACAGTCGTCCAGATTGACTCACAGCTGAGGGCCTGGATTGTACAGTTGCAGACTTCTCCCTTTGACCTGATGCTGTCTGGGTACCTGCATACAAACAAGTGCGTGTGCTTGACCAGTGGCCTGGCTAGGTACCTTTGGACTTTGACTGTTGGGGTCACGACAGTTGACCAAAGTCAACTGTCACACGTCCAGGCCCTGAGTCTTTGTTTGGGGTCCTTCTTGCCCCCATTTCGGCCTGGGCTGAGGGCGGCCGAGTTGGCCCTCAGTCTTTCCACGAGAGATATGGCCTGGGTTATTGCATCCCTAACACAAATCATTTAAACGAGTTGAGGATGAAGGATACCGCAAATTGAAGGAGGAAGGGGGGGGGTGGGGGGGGATGGCCGGCACACAATACATGAGTCTGTACTCATCAGCACCCCCCCCAAAAAAGAAGAAAGAAAGAAAGAAAGAAAGAAGGAAAGAACATGTAGCTCCGAAAGGAGTCCTGTATGTAGGACTGTCTATTACTTAATACACATAGTGAATGCTATACTAAATTAGGAAATTGCTAATACACATACCTAATGCTGTCAGAAAGTTTTTGTGTGTGCTTCTTTACACTTAGCCAAGTACTACTTAGTATGCAGTAGTTTGGAGAACTTTGGACATGTAGAGAGAGAATTATAAAGAGAGCTTATGCTGAGACTCATGTTCATGTTCTGCTCAATGAGCTGTACTTTCAAAATTTCACTGAAGAAACTTTGATGAATAAATATACAAATTGTAATCAAATTTTCAAGCCACCATACCAACATGTACAAAATCATTCCTAAGCCTAAACTATTAAAACTAAGGCACAGCGTACCTCCTGTATAAGAATGCATGTACATAAATAAACCTCCAATGCTGCTTGCCAAAGGTCCCCGTGAACCAAAAATAGGCCATGGACTTGTACATGCAGTTACACCACCAGTACTTCCTAAAGTCGGGCCCTTTAACAAGCCACAATTTTAGGAAATGTACTGGTCACTACAGGAGCGCCCAGATTCCACCGACTGGAAACGTTTCTACTCTATTTTTATTTCTGCGGCCCATAGCTGGGCCAAGTACCAGTGGTTTAAACCACTGGCACCTTTGGCGAACATTTTTCCGACCCTATAAACACCAAAGGTACTAGGCCCAGCTATGGAAGGTACTGGTGGTTTAAAATGGCGCGGGGCTTCTTTTGGATGCCCCTGCTAGCCATTTTGCTCCAGTAGGCCGACAAGTGAAGCTTGCGGTGGGGGTGCGTTAATGGCTGCGACGGAGAAAATTGACTACGTGAAAGGTACTGGTGGTTTAAAATGTTCACACCGTGGAGTACTTGAGAGTACACGTAGATAGCTAGTCCGTTTGACATTTTAATCACACGGACCACAATGAAACAGGGGGTTGTTTTCTTTCTGAAAAAGAAGGAGGGGGAAAAAAGAAAGAAACACACTCAGGGTCAACGATACGAACAACGGAAAAATTGCTAACTTGCCTTATGCGCAGTGTACTCCTCCATTGTGACTGGAATTTATTGACGTGGATTCGACAGCGATTCAACAATCCCACAAACAGCACACAACGATCACAATTGAGAAAAAACCACCCAGCACCTCATAAAATACACACGCACAACCAACACACAAGGATCACAACTGTAAAACCACCCAGCACCTCATAACACACACACACACACACACACACACACAGAGAGAGAGAGAGAGAGAGAGAGAGAGAGAGAGAGAGAG